ATGAGCTTATATCTTTAAAAATGTCAATATTTAAGAAGTTATAATGCACTTTATCAAATATCTCATGAAATATTGACATTTTCAAAGATATAAGCTCATCCCGATATTACACTCATCAAGAGCTTTTATTTGAGTACCTACATCAATTTTTCATATATTTATATATATATTACATATATGTATATATGAAAAATATATTACAATAATGCATGTGGGTACTCAAATGAAAGCTCTTGATGAGTATAACATCGGGATGAGCTTATATCTTAAATAACGTCAATATTTGAGAAAGTATAGTGCAATTTAACAAAAGTCATTATTTAATGATAAAAAATTTTATCTATTGATAGTTCACAAGTCACGGCAGTCACATAGTGACTGCAAGGTTGCTAGTAAGTTATTTATTTATTTTTAGTATGGTTGTAATTTCAATCGCACTTAATTAATTATACTTATAATACCCCTACTACGGTAATCACTAATCACTTATTTTTATACTTATAAATCAATTAAAAACATAAAATCTATTAATATTTTACTTCTTTTATGATAACATCATAACTGATGAAGTTATTTTATTTAATTAATTAATTAAAATAAAATATGTAATTGGAAAGTCCGGAAGAATGCATCAAATTTACAAACTTTCATTCTCAAAAATGAAACATTAAAATGCGTCGCTTAATTAGTATTAATTTTTTAAAAACAAGTTCGATTTATTGAGAGTGAATCTCCGAAGTGAAAGTTAAATTTATTTTCAACATCCCATTCATAGCCACAATAAAAGTTTTAATTTTGTTAATCTTTTCTTGACAGGCCGTGTTACTTTCGAAAGTAATAAATGTTTAAATTTAAGAAACAAAAGTTAATAATAAATCATTTTTGTATTTAATTAAGTCTATTTATCAAAGATAAGTCCAGTTTAACTACATTGCTCATTAAATTACTCAACAATTTTTAACCAAAGGATGAATGATCATTGATGCACCATTCGAGGGTATAGTATCGTGGATATAATCCTGCAAGTTGCTTCCAATTGTCCATAAAGTGTCTTGAGGACCCACCGCTATATCTGTTGGCAAATGACAATCGTCGCCTTTCTGTACAATGACGAAATTTTCTTGCCCGAAAGCTGTGTTGGTGTCCCATAGATAAACATCAGGTTGTCCTAGATAAAGAAGAAAAAAAAAGAAATTAAATTAATAAATAAGAAATTAATAATTAATTAAATTAATTTCATTAAAAGAAAGAACTAACCTTTGTATCTAAAGAAGATTACATTACCCCCATTTGTCCCCAAGAAGATCATACTGTTCAATTTTGATCCAACGTCAATAATATCAGCACCAGCTCCTCTTCTTAAGTGATCCAGCCTGATACTGAACACACGACTAGAGCCCAAGTAAGTGAAGTACAGTTCCGGACCGGTGGCTTTACGAACAAGTAACATTTGCAGAACATCTTTTTTCGAGTTTGCAAGATTCACTGCTTGGGGTAAGCTCATACGGAACCCACTGTTGCCAACAACATCGTAGACAATTATTCCTCTGCCTGAGGCGTCGCTGATGTAAAGATACACTTTACCGTCTTCTCCGTAGTCGACAATAAGGTCCTGCAGTCTTGAATTTTCGACAATTAATTGGTTCAAGTCAATGACTTTTATCAACTGAAAATAAAATTAATTTATATTATTAAAAGAATAAGATAAATATTGTTTCCAGGATAGTCAATTTATTATGATAAGTATTTAGGCTGCATTCAAAAATACTCTATTTCTAAATACATAATTAAGAAATAACCTTGTATCTTGTGAAATATTGATATTTTTAAAGATATAAGCTCACCCCGACTTTCCACTCATCGAGATCTTTCATTTGAGTACCCACATCAATTTTTCATATATTTATATATATTATATATATATGAATATATGAAAAATATATCAAAATGCATGTGGGTACTCAAATGAAAGCTTTTGATGAGTATAACATCAGGATGAGCTTATATCTTTAAAAACCTCAATAGTTAAGTAATTACAGGGAAATTTAACAAATATCTTGTGAACTATTGATATTTTTGAAGATATAAGCTCACCCCGACATTACACTCATCGAGGCCTTTCATTTGAGTACCCACATCAATTTTTCATATATTTATATATATTATATATATGTATATATGAAAAATATAACAAAAATGCATGTGGGTACTCAAATGAAAGCTCTTGATGAGTGGAACATCAGGATGAGCTTATATCTTAAAAAACGTCAATAATTAAGAAAGTACAGTGCAATTTAACAAAAGTCATCATTTAATAGAACAAAATTTTATTTATTTATAGTTCACAAATCACGGCAGTCACACAGTGACTGCAAGGTTGCTAGACATAATTAATACACGTTAATTACACAGAAAAAAAATTACTTGAATCAAGTAAATAATTTTGAAAAACTTCACCTTCTTCATTTTAAGAATAATTTTTAAAATATTTTACTTGATTCAATAATTCAATTATTCATCTTGATTAAAGACAATAAAACTCTTAAAAATTATTTTTTCCGTTCAAGAATTTTTCTCTTAGATATGAATTAATTTTTTTTTCTCAGTACAAAAAAATAAAATAAATCAAAAAAATTTACCTGTTTGTTTCTAATATCAAATGCGAAAACTTTGGGTTTACATCTGAAGACAGGCTGCGTTAGAGTATTAACAGTCCCAGTATCCAAGGCCCAAAGGATACCATTGTCATCAACAGAAATATCAACAATGCTTTGAAGGCTATCGCAGTTCCCTTCTTCTTGCATCGCCCAGCAAGGAAACGCCTCGTAGATATTTTTATTTCCATGCTTGACAACTCCGAGAGTAATTGGAACTCCAGGCTTGAGTCGAGGAAACGCGATGAAGACCTGGTCCTCGAACAGCTGAATCCTGGTGCCAATAATGCTTCTTCTGTCGTAGCGGCCGTTTTTTGAAAAAGTTTGCTCAGTGTCCCGGCTAGGCCACACCAGGTTCCTCCCTTTGACGAAGAACTTTAGATCCGAAAAATCGGGCGCCGGTTGTTGAACTTGGCGAGCTCTCCCGAAGACTACTGAAGCAGTAGTCACCACCAGGAGTGATATGATCAATACTCGTGCCATTTTTTTTATTAATAATTAATATTTCTTATTGTTGTCAGAACAAACCGATTCTTACTTCTGTTTGCCAACAACCAATTCGCCGCTTTTATATCTGGAAAGTCCGGTTTGTTTAGATTTGACTTGTTGACAATTTAAGAAGTTCCTTCTTCCGAATTTAGTAATTTTATTTAAAACAATTTTTTTTGTTACCGAATACGGAAGCGTTGTTTACTCAACTCTCGGAAGCGTTGTGAAATAAAAACAATTAGAGGTATTTTATTTAGTCAACTTTTAATAAAAATTTTTAAACAAAATTAGTGATATAAATACCTGTAATTTTTAATTGCTCACATTATCAAGTTAATGAGTTTAAATTAAAGATCACAAGAATAATAAAGTACAGAAGAAGAGTTTAAGATAGCAAGATGCTTAAAGCTTTGGCATTGGTTTTAACAATTGGATACTCCTTAGGAGCGCCAGTTGAAGTTCAAGATGAAACACTTGGATTCACTGCTAAATTCGAGTGGCCATGTGAAAGTTCTATGAATATCTACAAAAGTTTTGATAAATTTATTAACAAGAATATAATTGCTACCAGGGCTGTTATTTACAAAGACAGCGCTATTCTTGCTTTTCCCAGGTAATTATTATTATTATTATTGTAAATAATTATTGTGGTGAATATTTACGAGTGGAGTAAAAAATTTTAATATTCATTTTTTTGAACGAAATTTCTATTTGATTTTATTGATATTTTCTTTTGAAAAATATATAAAAAATGAAGAATTTAAAAAAATAGTTGATTATCATAATTTTCAAAAAAATTTATAAATTTTTTAGAAAATTGTGATACTTAACTTTTTTTTTAAATTGTTTATTTTTTTAAGTACTTTTTAAAAAAAATATATGTCAAAAACATAAAAAAAAGGTAAAATAGAAATTTTATCCAAAAACATGAGAGCCGAAATTTTTCCCAACTTTTAAAGATGATTTTTTAATTGAAATATTATTTTTTGATATTTTCAATATCACCACCATAAATCCGCGGTAAAAAAAAGGAAATTATGATGATCTATCAATTAATCTATTTTTTATAGTCAAAAATAAGTTTAACCCCATTTGTAAATAATTACCATTATTGTTTAGTTAAAATAATGATTGAAAATAATTTTAATTTATTTCTAGAGCCAAGATTTTTTTGAAAATCAATCAAAATGTTAGATCTTACGGCAAAAATATTCGTCCTATGAAACAAGTTATACAACAAAATTTCTAGGAAATTTAATTACAAAAAAATGTCTCTTATGATTTTTTTTATGCACAAAAATAAAAATGTTCTTGAATCAAGTATATAATTTTGAAAAACTTAATATTCTTGATTTGAGTAGAAAAATTCTTGATTTAAATAAATTTTACTTGATTCAAATTAATTTTTTTTTCAGTGTGCGACTAATATCTTTACCGTGATTCCAATAATTAAGATTCATATTCAATTGATTCTAATTTTTGTTAACTACAAAAGTCTTAATTTTGAAATTACCGCTTTTTTTATTGACCCTGAAAAAACAAGTTATTAGATTAGATTATTTATTTATTTATTTATTTATGCCAAAGCCTGCTGGCCAAATGGCAAGTAAAAATAACAAAAATACAATTAATTACAAATTTAAAATATTAATAACAATAATTTACAAGGCAAGTAAAAATAAGAAATACAATTTATTACAAATTTAAAAATACTAATAATAATAATAAAGTTATTAAAGACATTTTTTTTAGAATAAAACATTGAATAATTTTTATTCCAAGAATTTTTTATATGACCAATATTTTCGCCTTAAAAAAAATTTACCCCATTAATTATAATTTTAAATTGAAGACAAAAATCCCGATCTTAATTTATTTTTCAGATTCAAATCTGGAGTTCCCGTAACTTTGGGAAAATTATCCCTATCAAACAACGGAGAACCTCCGAAAATCGGCGCATATCCTTGCTGGTCAATGCAAGAAGAAGGAAACTGCGCGTCTTTGCAAAACGTCGTAGATATTTTCGTCGACCAGCAAGGAATTCTCTGGGTTCTGGATACCGGAGTCGTAAACACTTTGGAGAAACCAGTACGCAAGTGCCCGCCGAAAGTTGTCGCATTCAATCTAAATACCGATAAGGTAAAAAAAAAAAAAAATTACATTTTTTTCTGATCGCCAATAAAAATAAATCTAAAAAGGCTTTTACTTCTAGCTTATTAAAGTAATCGACCTGGCCCGTTTGACAACAGAAGCTTCCCGTCTCCAATATCTCCTAACAGACTACGCCGAAAATGGTCATATCTACGTTTACATAACAGACGCGGAATCCGGAGCCATTTTAGTTCATGACGTAACGACCGGACAAAGTCACAAAGTCAGTTTGCCTCCACAGGTAATGGAGAAAATTCCAAAGCGCGATGTGATGACGCCGATTCTGATCCACCGAGCTGATGGAACTACATGTATCGTCTTCACTTATCTCAGTGACGTAAATATCTACACCGTTAGCACCAAATCTCTCCAGAATGTCCAGAGTTCGGTGAAATTCCACGTGATTGGTCAGAAAAAGGCCAAGATTGTCGTCCTAGGATCTGACAATGGAACCGCAATGTTTTTCCGCTATGAAGGTCAACCTGATATCTATCGGTGGGATACCCGCTACATATTTACAGATGAAAATATCATCAAAGTTTATTCCGGGGACGACGCGATGTTTGCAACTCACGTCGCTCCGGATTACAACTCAGAAAGGATCAGAGTCCTCGAGTCAAATTTTCCAGATTTCATCCAAGGCAAAGTTGGCTGTGGTGTTGAACACACCTTCAATGTCCTATAAATATTAAAGCCCATCCATGACTCATCCGATGATATCTAAATTGATGTAATAATTAACAAGCTAAATTAATTATTTAATTTAATAAATAATTATTTTGAAAAACAAAAAGATTATTTTATTTATTTCTTCAATGATAACAATCATATCGCAACTCAATGTGAAAGTAGTTCTTACTGTATAAACATACCTTCATTTATTTTATTATATGTGTGTATTCATTTTACGGAGCACAATATCAGTTAGTTATGTAGGTGTTACACATTCAGGATTAAATAATTTAAAAAGTGTAATGATCTAGAAAGGTCATTGCGTGTGATACAGAACAGATAGGTGTAATTGTTGCCGGATTGCAGTACTAAATGATTTGTAATCACAGCTCTAAATCGGGAATTACTCTGTCATACAAGAGATTTAATTAATTACTGCTTTAGGTTATAAATTTTATTCGGGGAAATCGTTATTGTTGGTGAATTATTTATCATCGGAAAATTTTGCATTTTTTAGAAAATTTTGTGCAATTTTCGAGCTAGAATTTTTATTAAAAAAATTTATAAATTTTTAATTTATAATTTATAATTTATTTAAAATAAATAAATAAATAAAATTCGAAGAAAATAAAAAGTTATAAATAACTCAAACATCAACTTTTAATGGATTTCTTCTTTGTTCTGCTGACAAGTGTTTGATAAGTTCTTTTACGCACGGTACTCGATGTACAAATTTAATATCTTAATTAGAGAAAGTATTGTTTGTTTTTGATATTTTTTATTCAATTATGGATCGTTACAAATGCGTGAATGATTAATTCGAAGATCATAATTATGTAACTATGTTAGAATTATTCATTAGAAAGTTGGATTTATAAATTTATAAATCCTTGTAAGGAACCGGAAGGACATTTAAGTTATGAATAAATTTTATTTTTAAAATTATTCATTGCACGATTTGCACTCGAGTTTGGAAAATAACAAGGAAGTTGTTTTATTATAAAGTTGGTCTTCAAATTGATACAAGAACAAAGAGGGAAGTTACTTAATATAGATTTTCTAATAATTAATTGTAAATAATGCAATCATTTGATATTTGATTACGAAAAAAAAAGTGGTACAGTTTTTAAAAACAATGACCGAAAAAGTTAAAATGAGTATAAGAAATTATTTTTTTAAAATGGATAATTAAGTGTTAAAATTTGATTTTTTTAAATATTAGATACATTTAAGTCCGATGCTTTTAAATTATTTTAAATCATTTTAAATCATTTCAAATTAGATTTCTTAATCAGGGGAGTGGGGTCATTCCCATTTTTGGCTATAACTAAGAGAAAAATTTTCATTTTCAAATTTTTCTTTTGATTCTGCTTGTTTTTACGTCGCATTTATGATAAAAAATGTCATGAAAGGAAAAAATAAAGATTTCAATAACTTTTTTGCCTTTGAAAGTTGGAAAAAATTTTGGCTCTCATATTTTTGGATAAAACTTCTATTTTATCTTTTTTTGATGTTTGTGATATATTTTTTTTTTTTTAAATACATAAAAAATGAAGAATTAAAAAAAATTAATCAAAAAAAAAAAATTTAAGATTACCAAATTTTTAAAGAAGAATATAAATTATAAAAAAATTTAGTGAAGAATATAAAAATATTAAAATTTGAATTACTTTGTTTGGTAACAAAGTAATTTCACGGTCAATCATCCAGCGAAAGTGAGTTTATAAATGATTTTAATGTTTAAACGATTATTACTTCATCTAATGATCTTGCTATATGATTAAGTATATCAAACATTACATTATATTTGTCGTATATTATTAAGTTTATCTAATATTAACTTCTATTCAGTAAAACTAGAATAGCAGTGTTTATACTCGGTACATAATTATTTCTTCGTTAGTTGGGTAGAATGTACAAAAAGGATTATTAACCGACAACTTTAATTGACCGGATATTGTAATGGCTTACGTGGCAAAGACTTTTCCCATGAACGCCAAAGAATATAAACTATCAACTTTATTAGGAGATAAACAGAAAACCTATAATAATTATGAAATACAATAGTCAGAACCTAGGTGTCCTAACCTTAGCATTAAACAGTTAGATAATGAGCAATGGAATCGAAAAAATACAGAAAAAAAACTTCTAGTAGCAAGAAATTTTAAGGAAGACAAAAATTATTCTACAGTAAGAAGAAATTGTTACAGCGTGGTCTTAAATTATTACAATATTTACAAAATTATTTATTTATTTATTTATTTATTTATTTATACGCCAATCGTCTTTATACATTAGATTTACATCAATTAAATTTGGTTATGGGTGAAAAAAGAAAATAAAAATAAAAATAAAGTAAAAAGAGTATTAACATTTCAATAGAATTAAATTTAAATTAAATTGAATTACATCAATTTCATTTACTTTATAACTTTAAATTATTAGTATTATAAAAAAATATCTCTAAGAGTAGTTATTACAAGATGAAATGAAATTGCACTTTTTAAGAGGCTAGTGGTTATTGGTTAGAAGTAGTCTTTTAACCGATGATACAAAGGATGTGATCGAAGTGTCAAATAATTCGAGGTGTGCGCAATTATCATTTGAAAATACAAAATATAAATAATAGGGTACAAGAATATATTCAGTTGAATCATTAATTATAATATTTGAATTTAAATTTTGATTTATGGTTATGAATTTTTGAATTTTGAAAAATTTTAATAATTTATACACTGAAAAAAAAAAAAATTAACTTGATTTAAGAGAAAAATCAAGTAAAATTTCCTTAAATCAAGAATTTTTCTACTCAAATTAAGAATATTAAGTTCTTCAAAATTATATCTTTGATTCAAGAACATTTTTTTTCTGTGTAATGTTGTTCTTAACTTTAAGAATCATTTGAAAAAAAAAAAGAGTTTTTTTTTTTAATAAATAAGACTCACTTTGACCTCAGTAAAAAAGCATAAATTCAAAACTTTCACTATCAGATAACCGTCGCTCAATCTTATATGACCTTCTTTCTCAGTAACAACAATCCTCAAGCTGATCATGAGTGAACCAAGCGTAAAGATAGTCAAATCCAGTAGTATAAGTACTCGTGTTATATTACACTGTTACATATAATACTTATAATACAATATGTAATATGTAATATGTAATAAAGGCTTGAACACGCACAACTTGATATCTTACTTACCAGATTTCATTACAACTAATTTTGCAAATTAACCTCTTGTTTCACTACATTGTATAATAAGATTATTATTTATTATTTTTTTGATTGATTGAAATTTTATCAAATTAACACTTTGAATAATTAATTAGTATCGATAATGACTTGTCAAGTAAGTTTCGATCGATTCAAAAGCTTCTTACACAATTATTAATTATCAATACATTAATTAAAATCTAATTTGGGAAAAAAATTTTATTTAATTTAAAAAAAAATATAATGTTAAAAACAAAGAAGAAAAATACTAATTATTTTTTAAACATTAGCGACTAAGAGAAAAAATTACTAATTGCTTTGACAAATTAACAATTAATGCTTAGAAGAATAAAACTTCTAATTTGTCTTAATAAAATTAGTAATTAGGAAAAAATATTACTTATTGTTAATTTATAAATTAACGATATTACCAAAATTAATTATTAATTTTTTAATTAATTATAAATTATAAAAATTATTATAAATCAATTGTAAATTATTATTTTAAATTAATTATTAGTTTTTTTAAAAAATGAATAATTATCAATTTTTTGAAAAATACACTGAAAAAAAATTAATTTAATTAAAGAGAAAAATTCTTGAATTAAGTAAAATTTATTTAAACCAAGAAAAATTTCTTAGTTTAAGAATTTTTCTACTCAAATCAAGAATATGAAATTCTTCAAAATTATTTACACTGATAGGATTTATTTGTATCAAAAAATATGTGTTAATTGTTAACAAATCATTTATTAAAGACCACTTTTTAGTATATTAAACTAATTTTCGTGGAAAATAACGGTTCACACTTTAGACGGCAGCTAAAAATTTTTCCATAAAAAAAAAAAATTATCAGAGAACGTTGGGGGGAAGATTTAATTATAATTTGATTAAATTTTCATGGTTTTTCATTTTCAGATAATTTCCGGCCAAGTTACAGCGAACACCGCAAATTGTTGGGGGAAGCTCTGTTACGGGCTTATGCTTAAATATTTATGCATGAAAAATTTACACAACATTGTCAAAACTATGCTGAATAATGTACAAAAGGTTAGAATAAAATTGCTCAATCCATATTTAAGAAAAAAAAATCGCAAAAAAAGTGTTTTTTTACGCTGAAACCCTTACCCTCCTTTAAAAAAATATTTCTTAATATTTAAGATGATTTGTTTGTATTTAATAAATCTGATATTAATTTATTAAATATTAATAAATCCTTAAATACTAAGAAATATTTGTTAAGGACTGAAAAGTGGTCTCTAATAAATGATTTATTAAATATTAACAACTATTTTTCTGTGTACGCAATTGACAATATTAATAACAAGAATAGTATTATTACCCAAGCCTATTAAAATCAAGGGCAATATTGATTTAATTATGTAATAATCTATTGAAAAATATTTCTATCATTACAGACCGAGTAAATTTGATTGACTGGCGTCAATTTCACAAAAACACCTAGATCCGGTTTTTATTTCTCGGCCAGGCTTTTTATTAAATGTAAATTAACCCGGGGTCTAGTTTAATGGATTCGATTTTTGATAAATCGTAGAAGGGGTCCATAGTCGGTACCAATGCCTCGGTACTATACAAATGTAATAAGAATAAGGAACCGGGATGTGGGCGACCGAGCCGCGAAAGTAAGAGGAGGGAAGGGCGGCGTTCTTGGTAATCGGTAACTTTTACACCAAGTGTCGAGTATGTACGTTACATATATAATGCATTAATGCTGGTGTATGGCATACAACATTTTATAGTACAGGGAGGGGTACGTTTATAGATCGAACGCGAACGATTGTCTTGGTAGACGTTATCTGCGGGCTACTCCCCGATCCAACTCTCGAACTGTAAAGTACTGGGGTCTTTTAGTTCTTATACAACTACACGACATTCAATTCTTTGGAGTCAGTGAAACTCGACTCGTTGTGTCCGACGCACTTTGTTTTTTTATTTATTCCCTGGTTTTAAGTTTTATGTTAGTGTTGCTGCTGATTTTACGGCTAGATTGGTTAATTGAGTTGAACGCAAGAAGATTATTCGAGTATAACTTGATTGCTAATTAAACTTCTTTGCTATGAGGTAATGATTTTTAATTAATTTGTTTTAACATCTTTATTTAATTTTTACTTGATTTTTATTTAATTTAAACGATTTTTTTATAATAATGAATTTTTTTATTTCGGCTGCCCAATTTTAAAACACAGTAACTGTAAAATTTTTATACCTGATTTTTTTATGACTCACTGAAGTTAGGAGACGTCTAAAAATTTTTGATTCTTTTTATTAATTAAATTACAACTAAAAAGATATTTCTAAAAAATTGCACCTATAGTTTTTCAAGTTTTTTACATGTGCAATTTTTTTTTTAATTGTTTAATTGTAATTTTTTCAATAAAAAATTTCTAAAAATTTTGAAATGTCGGCAAACTTCATTTTCATATTTTTTTTTAGTATTGCTGCATTTTTTATAACTTTTAAACCTTAATTTCAAGTATTTTTTTTTTTTTTTAATATTTATATTTAAGTATTTTCTATTCATAAATCAAATTTGTCATTAATTTGGCGGGCAAACTTTTTTTTTAATAAGAAAAGTTGAAAAAAATTTTTACTGTTTTGAAATTGGGCAGCCAATTTGCTCAAATTATACATCAATTAGGATGTTTTGTTGAGAAAAAAAAAATTCAATTTGTTACTTTTTACAAAACAAAGAAAAAAATTTCTAACTATTTGAACACTCCTTAGTAAGATAAACTGCATATCTCAACACGCGGCATTTAAAGTAATGCCTTTCTTCTCATTTGCAATGTTTACATTCTTATATTAGAATAAACACATAAAAAATATTATTTAAAAAAAAATCGTCAAAAGAAAAATAAAATACGCGTAAATAAAATTCATTTATAACAATTGTAAGCTTCAATTTTTATTTAACTATTTATACATTTATTTTGATTGTTTATTATTGATAATAACAGATTATTTCTATATTTAATGTAGCCAATTAAAAATTTTGTTTCACCGTATTACACGGAGAAAAGATAATTATAATAGTTACTCTCGTTGTTAATACACTGAAATTATATCTATTAAAATGGGGCAATACTTAATTAACAGTGATTTTTTTTTTAAATTACATAAAATATAGAATCAATTTTTTCGATAACTTCCTGATAAAATTATAGTGATTTATTCTTAAATCACCATAAAATTCTTTTTATTTATTGACATAAATTGTATTGTATTTTTATTTATTCTACAGTGCATAAGAGCAATTTCAGTGAACTATGTACAGAAGAAGACTATTACAATCTAACCGATCCTTTTTCTACATTATTTTATTTATTATAAAATGTTCTATCTATGTTAGGCTGCATAAAAAAAATCAACTATTTTTTTTTCACAATGTACTGTGAGAATATTGTTTATAGCGTATAGAATATTGTTTAAGATAATTTATAGCGAAATTTTGGAATGAGTATGATTAATTCACCAAAGAAGTGATAAACCTCAAAATTTCTTATAATTTTAACTTTGCTCTTGGATAACTTTTAAAGAATTTAGTTTATGAGTTATAAAGTTTAAAAAAAAATTTTTCATTTTAAGTAAATAAGAAAATCGCTATGAGGTCCGTCTTAATGTTAAAATTAAAAGCAGTTTTTTTCATGGGATCATTTTTTTCAAAAAATAGTCGATTTTTTATACAGCTTAAAATTTTGTAATTTGAATAGTAAGATTATATTTATTAACAAATAAATAAATTTATTATGAATTCATGTAGAAATTCTTTCAATCAAAAAATTAAAAAAGAAATTAAAAGTCATAAAATAAATAAATATTTTTTTTTAATTTGTATAAAAAATCAAATTACAAATTTTGATAAAAGTAATTATAATTTGATGATAAAAATTTTTAAAAGTAATGAGCTTTATTATCAAATAAAAAATTACTAAATAGAATGGAAAATTTTTTTTTTGATTATTTAATTAAAGTCATTTTTATAAACATTATCAAATAATTTTTTTAAACAAATTTTTAAAATATATTAATATCAAATAATCTAAATAAAATTATTCACTTTTACACTAATTTCACCATCAATTATTAATATTCTGTAATTATATCAATATTTATGAGTGGCACTTATTCTTTAGTTGATTACAATGTATAAGATAATAATTATTGATTGAAAAATAGTTATTAATCCTTTTACATAGAATAGAAATAGAATATCGTTTTTATTTGTATCACATATTGCGTTTTACAAAACTGTATCTTAAATTATTTATTTACATTTGCATATACACTATTTTTGGCTTAAAAATCAACTGCTTTTACTCTCTTTTAACTTTTCACCCACCTCATCCTTCATATCACAGTCGCATTACAATACTATTAATACTATTTTATATTTATTTCTAGTATCCATCCCTGTATATTAATGACAGCCTTTTTCTGACATTCAATATTGTAATACTACTCAATTTCCTTAAATAATTTTTCCATTTCTCTAACATATATACACAGCTCCCTATTTATTTCCCCTTTTAAAATTATCACTAATCTTTCTCTTGTTAATTCCCCCTTTAGTTCTTCCATCCACTTGTATCTTGCTTGTTGCCCTTTTTCACTTATTTTTTCCATTATCTCTGAACAGCTTAATAAATGCATCAGTGTCTCCTCCTCTTTCTTGCATATTCTGCATTCCCAATTCTTTTGCCCTTTTTTTCCGCTTCTCCACACTCAGATTTCCACATCTCGTTCTTGCCCATACCTCTTTGTACTCACTATTTTAATTCTATCTTTTTTCCAATAGCTGATTTCACTTTCTTGTAATATATCTTTGTAAAACTCGTTATATCTTGACTTTTCTATTAGCAACTTTTCCTTTTTTTCTAGTTCTTTTTTGTATTTTTCCAGTCCCTCCTTTATTTTTTCCTCTATTTCTTCTACATTTCCTCCCTCGTATATTCCCCTAATAATTTCCTCTATGCCTATCACCACTAGAAAATTCTCCACTTTTTTTCCCCATTTTGTTGGATTTTTGTTGATTATTCCCCTCATTTCTTCTTTCATGCATATCTTTGGCCTTCTGTTATTTTCAAGCTTCATTATATCTACCAGGTACCTGAGTGCCCTTTCTTTTAAATTAATATATACTCTATGTGCTCTATTCCCAATTCCCTTCTGATGATGTAAGTTGGTGTATTTCTTGCTACCCCCAGCGCCATTTTATTCACTTTTTTATATATCACTTTAATTTTTTCTGCATTTTCCCACCCCCATACTTCCACTCCATACATACATCCTCTCCTTTTACATATTATTATTATCAATTTTATAAAAAATGAGCCTGGTTAATATGCAGAATAGTAAATATTACTATTTTATTTTCTCTGAGAAAAAAAAAATTAAATCCTGAATTTTTTTAAGCTTAAAAATATTTCTTCCGTAAAACAATATTTTCTTATTCCAATTGACACACTGATAGGATTTGTTTATAGTTAAAAATATTAATATATAATAAATCATTTATTAGAGACCACTTTACAGTCCCTAACAAATATTTTATTTATTAAATACAAACAAATAATTTTAAATTGTAAAAAATATTTGTTTAGTACTAAAAAGTGGTCTCTAATAAATAATTTGTTAACTATTAACAAATATTTTTATCAGTGCGCGAAAGATAGTTTGAAATTTTAGTTAAAAAAAAAAATCATTAGTAAAATTGATAAAATGAATTAATAAAAATTAATTAGTTATTGAAAAAATATAATGAATAAAAAAAGAGAGAAGGTCACTTGATACCAAGGATCGATAGGCGTTCAATTACGGACACTAACTTGATCAATAAATAACAAACTCATTGCCGAGTTATTCCCAGTTTGACAATGACAAAATAACCGGATCAAAATCAATCTTGTGTAACATTCATCAATATTTAAAAAAAAGAATCTAAGTACTAAAGTGGCAAACTAGTTTACAAGCTATCAGATATAGTATCCTAACTTTGATCTTAAATAATATAATGAATGTGAAGTAAGGAATAATTGACAATAGAAAATGATTTAGAGCTTTTGCGACAACTGTTGGACAATTAATTAATTCCTGTGTTTAAAAATAAAAACTTCCATGAATAATGTATAATGTATAATAATGGACAGTACTATACTTTTATTAAGAATCTTTGATTTGATATGTTGAGATCAAATTACGGTTGACGGTGAACTGCGTGCATGTGTATAAAGAAACTCGTAAACACAGAATTGTTATTAGCTATTTTTTCCTTTCGAAAAAGTGAATGGCTTATCAATTAACTTGGAAAACAAAAAGAAAAACCGACATGTCGGACAAAAGCGAACAGAAGACTATTCATAACAAACTTACGTTTACTATTAGCATTTAGCATTCAGTAAATGTTAGTGATTATGTCGATAACAATAATTATAACAATGGGGATAGTAGTGTTATTATTAGCTATGAAAGAAGATGTAATAAATAATCTAACAAAAACTTTCCTCGGAATTCACGGTCAGGCGAAGGCTGTCCAACTCAGTAGCTTGTTATGAAATTCACCGTATCAAAGTAGAAAGTCATTCGAATGTCGTTCCGCTAACAAATCTAGTGCATTCAAAAAAAAATATACCTTTATGGTCAGAAAAACAATGAACCATATTTGTCAGATTTGGGTTGGTTTGTTTGTTTTAAATTTCAATCACTATTTTCTCTTCTTATTTGTAAGTCCACATATCTATTCTTGGACAAAAAAATGTTTTCTATATGATTATTATTTAAAGAAATTACAAATTAGTGATTAAAATAAAAATAATACTAATCGTTTTAAGGAATCAATAATTAGAAAATAAAATTAGGAATTTTTTTAATTTGTTATTTTTTTTTTTTCTTTACAAAATTACTAATTAGAAGAAAAATTATTGATTGCCTAAAAAAAATTAGTAGTTAAAAATAATGTTTAATTTTTATAAAAAATGACCTGTTTTTTCGTCAGAAGGAAATAGTTAACCAGGAAAACTTTTTTTTTTTCTTTAAAGTAAAAGACTAAGCTGGAAAAAAAATTTATAAATAAAGATGACCTATATATATTTGGATTTACTTTTTGAAAAATTGTAACTACTTTGTTTAATTTAAAGTAATTTAAAAAAAAATGCATCATCAATTTTCATAGAATATAAAAAAAAATATTACTAAATTTTCTACAAAAGCAAGCAAACGGAGATATTAGTGAAATAATGGCAATAATGAATACTAGCAATATTGCAGTCACTATGTGACTGCTGTGACTATAAATAAATAAAATGTTGCTTTATTGAATAATGACTTTTGTTAAATTGCACTGTAACTTTTTAACTATTGACGTTTTTGAAGATATAAGCTCATCCCGATGTTACACTCATCAAGAGCTTTCATTTGAGTACCCACATGTATTTTGATATATTTTTCATATATACATATATGTAAAATATATAAATATATAAAAAATTGATGTGGGTGCTCAAATTAAAGGTCTCAATGAGTGTAACATCAGGATGAGCTTATATCTTTAAAAATGTCAATAGTTCACTCGATACAAGGTAATTTCTTAATTATGTATCTAGAGATAGAGCATTTTTGAATGCCGCCTACATACTTATCATCATAAATTGACTATTGGTGAGAATGATATGAAACCATAAAAAGGCTCAACTGCAAGTCAAGATTTTTCCAACGATACCAAATTTAACCATAAAAACCCATTTTATCATATAAATACACTGGCCACAAAATTTTGCTTATCCTTTTAATACCATAGATTATATTTTTTCAGGAACTTCCTGTTGACGATTCTGTTAATAGGATCGCTCGGAACCGCCGAGATAAATTCGGAGATTCTCGAAACAATAGCGCAATGGCCTGTGTTGGACTACGCATTGCCGTATGATCGGGAATACCTAGCCCAATTTCGGCCTGAGAACGTCGTTCCAACAGGATTCGAAGTATCAGAGCACAGAATATTCATCGCCACTCCCCGAATCCGAGCCGGTGTTCCCGCGACCCTGAGTGTGATTCCTCGTGACTTACCACTGGGAAGCAGCCCACAATTAGACGCCTATCCCTCGTGGGATTGGCATGGTGCTGGTAAAGGTAACTTTAACTGCTCCGGGCTGATATCTGTCTACAGAATTCGCATCGATAAATGCAACAGGTTATGGGTCCTCGACAGTGGAATCAACACCTCTGTCGACGATTTCCAGGTCGTTTGTCCGCCAAAACTCCTTGTTTTCGACCTCCAGACTGATCAGCTCGTTCGCCAAGTCATCTTCCCCCGCGAGGTAAGCTAATTTAGCTATAAAGAATTTAAAATTTCAATAACTAATAATTCTAAATAAAATTTTTAGGTTCTAAGACCCGATACACTTCTTACTAACCTTGTGATAGATGACACTGAAGCTCGTACTTGCGATGACGTCTTTGTTTACATTACAGACACTGTTGGCCCTGGTAAATTAATTACTATTAAGATTTATTATTATTTATGTAAGAGTAATTGAGAAAAAATGTTAATACAATTGATTTATAGGACTTCTTGTCTTCGATGGAACTGCTGACAGAAGCTGGCGGTATGTTCACGCATCAATGCTTCCAGATCCAAATTTTTCTACTTATCGGGTCAGTAATTAGCTTTAAATAATAATATTCTTTATTTTATAATAATAATAATAAAATATAATAAATAAATAATAAAAATAATAAAAAAAATTAGCCGACATTTTTGATTTTGCTTAATTTATTAAATTAGAAATAAAAAATATTTTTTTTAAATTTCACTTATAGTTTTTTAATTTTTCTACAAATGAAAAAGTTTTTAAAAAATATTTTTTTATTAAAAATAATTATAAAAATTTTAAATGTTAACTAATTTAATTTTCATTTTTAATTAATAAAAAAGTTAGTCAACATTTTTAAATTTTTTATTTTACTTAATTTATTAAATTAAAACTAAAAAATATTTTTTAAAAATTGCACTTATAGTTTTTCAATTTTTTTACAAATTAAAAATTTTTTTGTAATTATTTTTTTATTAAAAAAAATTTTAAATGTCGGCTAATTTAATTTTCATTTTTAATTAATAAAAAAGTTAGTCAACATTTTTAAATTTTTTATTTTACTTAATTTATTAAATTAAAACTAAAAAATATTTTTTAAAAGTTGCACTTATAGTTTTTCAATTTTTTTACAAATTAAAAATTATTTTTTTGATAAGTTTTTATGCAATGGGTTATCGAAAACAATTTTTTGTAGAACTCATGAACAAAATTCGATAAATGATGCATTCATTTTTTTTAAGACTTTTTTTTTACAATTTTTTGCTACAATCGGAAGTAACGTTGAGTTTTTTGGAATATCTAAAAAATTTTGTGGTAACAAAAAGTTTGTTAAGAATTAGTGTTACACATCCAGGAACTTTTTTTATAGTTTATATAATTCCTACTTAAGAAAATTTATTGTTCACATATTTGTTTTATGATACTAACATTACAGTCATTATTTATTATTTATTATGTGTTTGAACTTCTAAGACATGAGTTGAGTTTAGACAAACTATAATGGAGCTTAGTGAAAGGTTAGAAGTATTTTTAAACATTGCTCCCACTTTTAAAATATTAAAATCGCATTAGTGATACAATTTTATGAATAAACTTAAGAAATGAAAGTTTAAGGTCAAAGTTGTTACAATTTATTAACTGTAATAAAATTTCTACTCAATTAAGCTAAATTATTAACAATTATTAATAATTTATTTGCAGTTTTCTTTAAATTTTATGCGAATGTCTCGATTATTTATCGAAGAAATCATAGTTCTGCAATATTCTCATACTTAAAATTTTTTACTTAATAAGTATATCAATATTACAAGTTTCAATCGGTTTATTATTACAAATATACATTCACCGCACTATCATTAATCGCCGGAATCGTGTAGTATGTATATGATTATCTTCGTATGAAGAAATCATGTAAAATAAGACTATTGTTTTTGCATAGAGAGAGGTTTTAATGTTAAGTAACTTGAGAATTCTCTTAATCAATTTCTCTTTAATATATTTATTTTCAAATTTCATTTTTAAAAAAGTCAAACGAATTAATCAATAAGCTTTTTGATACATAAATAAATTAATATAAAATATATTTGCTTTTTTTAATGCATACATTTATAACTCGCTTTGTTCTGTTATATAACATTTTGCAAGAATCATTAATTAATTTAATTGTTATTACTTCAGTAACACGTAAAATAAAATTAATGTAATAATATTCCGCAATTATTGAATTATAAATTAAAATAATCGATGGGAATTTTCTCATGGAATAAAAAATCTGAAAATTAGTCGCGAAGAAATCAAATTAAAAGTATTTTTAATTAATAATTTTATATATTCTTAAAATAATATCGCAGATACCACAAGAATAAAATATTGATTTTACTAAAATAATAATAATAATAAATTATTAGTGTTATGTACAAAGTCTCTTTTGATTTACATAATAAATTTACCTATGTAATGTTGGATTGAAGAAAAGAGAGAGATAATTTTTATTAATTATTACTATCATATGATCTAAATCTGCACTTTTAATTATTAAAATATTCAATATAATTTTTTTTTTCATTAATTAAATTTTTATCAAAATCTGAAAAGTACTTTTTGTAAAATAAAATGAAATCTATCATTTTTTATTAGGATTAATTGTAAAGACAAAAGTTTTTTTTATATTAACAATGTTTTTTTTTGGTTATTATTACTTCTTATGAGAAACCAAAAAGCTCATTTTATTTCGTAGAGTTGTACAGAAAAAAAATTTCTTACATCAAGAAAATTTTAAGAAAAACAAAAGTTATTTTGGAGCAAGAAAAAATTTTCTTGGCTCAAGAAACTTTAACTTAATTCAAGAAATTTTCAATCTTTCTTAATATTTTCTTAAGCCAAGAAAATTTACACTCTAGTCAAGAATTGTTTTTTTTTAGTGTGAACGTTAAATTTGAATAAAATTAACACCATAAGAGATAATAATATCAAGAATAGCTAAAAAATAATAATAAATTCTCTTTAATAAGTAAAATCATCGATCTTAATAATACTTCTAAAGTATCAAGAATATTATTAATTATTAGAAGAATAGTTTTAAGAATTTTGAAATATTGATTATCATGAAAATTCAATAATTGTTTGGATCTCTCTTTTTAGGTTGCGATTAAAAGAAGACGAATTTATATAATTTAAAATATTTATATTTATTATAATTAATTATTATAAAAAATTCTCAGTAACTGTCTCAATATTATAATTATTAAATTAATTAAAGTAACTTATTCAATGATTGAATTACAGATCGGCTCTGACACATTCGAGTTGTTTGACGGAATAGTAGGATTGACATTTTCACCAAGAGAAAACTTGGTATACTATCAACCTCTGGCGACAGATCGTATCTTCAGTGTATCTTCATTAGTATTAAAAGCCGGTCCCCTGCCGTTCGGAGAGCAACTTCCGGTAACAGTAGTTGGGAAAAAGTCTAGCCAAGGATTAGCATTAGCAGTTAATCAACGTGACAATTCATTAATCTTCTCTCCTTTCACGGAAACGGCGATAGCCAACTGGAGCCCTACGACTAACAAACAGCGGTAACTATTAATTAGTATAATTATCATTATTATTATAATTAATTTATACCAATATTAATATTACATATACTTACCATTAAAAAATCTATTTATTTTTTAATGTATTTATTTTTTAGTGTCCTCGCATTCAGCGCCGAAAAATTGCAATTCGTTGCTGAATTAATGTGGTACGAACGCGACAATGGAAACATTTGGATTTTATCTTCGAGATTCCAGAAGTATTACAACCGTCAAGTTAATCTGCGGGAAATTAACCCTCGGCTTCTGAGAATAAGATCAAAATCTCCTTTATTAGTGCCACCAAGTATTTACCATTACAATCCCCACTTCCCAATTAATATTTACAACAACACTTTAACTCAATCATATTATTAATGAATTAGCTTTTAGGTAATTAGATTAAAATAATAATAATAATAACCCACAAACTGGAAATTTATTTAGAGACATGACAGTGTCTCGTGCCAAGTACAGTTTTTTTATTGTTACGTTCACGGAAAGAACAAGATGACACTAGATATCATCCCAGATTATACTGAGTGAAAAAAAAAATTTCAGATAGTATCTGGATTTTTCTAGCTGCTATCTGAAATTTTTTTTCACCGCAGATATCACTGAGTATAATCTGGGATGATATCCAGTGTCATCTTGTTCTTTTCGTGTTCTAGCACAAATCGAATATTGAATTTTGCATTTTTAGTGTAAACATATACTTAAAATCCCAGAAGAAATAATTTATGTATTTTAATCAAAAATTTAAAAAAACTAGAAAATCGAACGCGCTTTTTGCGCTTCTATCAAAATGTTTATTATCGACAATTTAATTAATCAATATTATTCTTAAAAATTTAATTCATTAATATTTAATATTTAACTGTTGCCAAAGTGGTCACCATAGCAACGAAAAGCGACAACAATGAAAACGTCACATCAACTTTTTAATAAAGGATATATTAAAAGAAATTATTAAAACAATTTTAAAATTGATTTTTTATATATTGATGAAATAGTTGCCATGAAAATTTATATTTTCCACAAAAAAAAATCATTAAAACAATAATACAAATATTTTATAAGTTAATTAATTGCATTAACAAAGAAGAAATCTTTTTTTTTTTTTAATTTTAAATCTTTGTAAGGTCTGATAAAAATGAAAATTATTTTTTTCTGGGAATATTAGACTATGATAAAACCATATTTTAAAGCTTTTTGTATATTTTATAAAAAAAAAAAAAAAAAAAAATACACTACACTTGTTAAACTGTCAATAAAAGTACATTTTAAAAAAATACAAATTTTGAATTTATTTATTGCTAATTTGCAGAAAAGACATAACTGATGGCCTTGGCCGTGATTGAAAGATGTCAATGATTTTAAGTGAGCATTAAAGTTAATTATATTTTCGCAATGTAATTGCAAGTAAATGCACGAGTTTATCTCATAATCGGGAAGGTTAAAATTAGAAAGGTAAAGGAAAAAAGTAAACTCTCTTGGGATTAGTAGGCTAATAAACATGACAGTATTTCATTGACTGTTTAGCTGGTCGGTTTATTTTAATTATTCCACTATTTGTCCGGTTAACATCTAGAGGCTCATTTATTATCATTGTAATTACTAATTACTAATTATATTAATATTTATTTTATTAACACGTGTAACTTGTAAACGGGAACAGTTTTTGCAATAAATATGCTCGTAAATATCTTGTCATTTATGTTTTTGTCAAGTTTATATTTCACAAGTGTCAGCTCTGCGGGAAAGTTTGAGACTGTGTACAAATGGTATTGGGTGGACTACTTGTGGGAGAGCGAAACACAAAGACTAGCTTCTATAATTACCGGTGAATATAATTATACTAAACCAGTGATTATTGATGTTGACGTTTGGAAAGGTAATTAATAATTTATATTATTAAGAGAATAAGCAAAATTTTGGGATCAGTGTATTTATATGAAAAAATGGGTTTTTATGGTTAAATTTGGTATCGTTGGAAGAGTCTTGACCTGGAGTTGTGCCTTTTCAAGGTTTCATATCATTCTCACCAATAGTCAATTTATGATGATAAGTATTTAGGCTGTATTCGAAAATGCTATATCTTTAGATACATAACTAAGAAATGACCTTGTATCTGGTGAACTATTGACATTTTTAAAGATATAAGCTCATCTCGATGTTACACTCATCGAGACCTTTCATTTGAGTACCCACAACAATTTTTCATATATTTTATATATTTATATATATGTATATATGAAAAATGTATCAAAAATGCATATGGGTACTCAAATGAAAGCTCTTGATGAGCGTAATATCAGAATGAGCTTATATCTTTAAAAATATCAATAATTAAGAAATGACCTTGTATCTTGTGAACTATTGACATTTTTAAAGATATAAGCTCATCTTGATGTTACACTCATCGAGACCTTTCATTTGAGTACCCACATCAATTTTTCATATATTTATATATATTATTTATATATGTATATATGAAATATATATAAAAATGCATGTGGGTAGTCAAATGAAAGCTCTTGATGAGTATAACATCAGGATGAGCTTATATTTATAAAAACATCAATACTTAAAAAAGTACAGTGCAATTTAACAAATTTAATAAAAAATTTTTTTTATTTATAGTTCACAAATCAAGGCAGTCATCTAGTGACTGCAAGGCTGCTAGTTAATAATTAATAATTCATTTTTAGTTATTCTAATAATATATTATTTTAATATTCAACAGATAAAAACCAATATTATTATTTATTTATTTATTTGAACGCCAATTAGCATTATACACCAATTAACATATTCCTTAAATTATAAATTTTTAAATTCTAAATTTCAAGCTCGAAAATTGCACAAAAATAAATTCTTATTCAGTGACGCCTAGTAAAAATTAAGAGTATTATTAATAATATTGCAAAATGTATTTATGAAAACATACTGATAAATAAAATGATTTCCAGATAAAAAAGTATTTGTAACAGTGATAAGAACTGATGGAGTTCCCGCAAGCTTAACAACAATCTCAGGAAAAATCGGAGGAGGTGGTCCCCTTTTAAAACCGTACCCTAATTGGAGTTGGGCAAGAAAAGGCGACTGTAATTCAATAACCAACGTGTTCCGAGTTGCGGTAAGTGTGAATATCATAAATTATTTATAAAAAAAAATCGTAAATACTATTAATATTAATATTACACCTAACTACCAATACAGATTGATGAATGCGATCGCCTTTGGGTACTCGATACAGGAAAAATAAACGAAGAACACGTTTGTCCGGCACAATTACTGGCGTTTGATCTAAAAACAGACATTCTGATAAAGAGAGTTAAAATTCCTCGTGACATAGCAATAAATATTGTTACGAAAAAAGGTTTATTGGTAACGCCAATTGTGGAAACTCAAGGAATTTACTGTTCTAAGACATTTGTAAGTCAAGCATATGCATTTATTTTTTGCATAATTCAAATTCTTTTTTATTTTATTACTCGTACTTGTTTTATGCTAATAATGCTCAATGCTTTTATGGAAATACGAATCAATAGCAATAATTTTTATTAGGTTTACATCGCAGATGTCACTGGCAATGCTTTGATAATTTACAACGGTACAAGCCTTTGGCGAATTGAATCGCCGATTTTTCAGCCTCAAGAAGCAGCAGCGAGTGTCACAATCGCCAATGAAACTTTTTATCTTGATGACGGAGTTTTGGGAATGGCGTTGAGCCCAAAATCGTCCACAAATTCGCGACAGCTTATTTTGCGACCTCTGGCATCCTTTGACATAATTTCAGTGGAAACTTCAAGCCTGCACAAGTCATATGCCAATGAACCGATACGATACACGGTAGTATCAAGAGCGTTACCCAGTCAAGCGGCAGCAATGGCTTTCTCCAGCGGTGGAACACTTTTTTTTGGACTCCCTCATGATCTTGCAATGGCTTGCTGGAATATTAATAAGCCGCTTACAAGAGATAATATCGTAAGTTTCACACATTTGAAAGTAGAATTTGTTTTTTTTTAATACTTAACTGAGAACGACTTTTTTTTGTTACATTGTATTTACTTTGCAGGTAGTAATTGATAGGGATCACAACGATTATCAGTTTGTAAGCGGTGTTAAAGTTATTCCTTCGAGATTCACGAAGAGATATGAAGAATTATGGATTGCGACTAATAGATACCAAAAAATAGCATTAGAAACTCAGAATTTTAATGAGATTAATTTTAGAATTATGAAGAGTCCTGTTAATAATTTGATCAGAGGAACTAATTGTAACAATGGTTTTAATTTCAAATTTCTGTCGGATTATAATTTAGCGTTTTCTAATTATTTTTGAATAAAAAAAATAATATTAGTATTTACTAAATAATTTATATCCTGATTCTTTAATTATATTTCTTATGATGATTCTTTAATTTTATTTAATATTGCAATTTATCTAGAAATTAAAGATCAATTAAGTTATTATTGAATACTTCTTAAATTATTCATGAATGCTTTAAATTACTCGCCTTTTTAACATATGATCATTATAAATCATTTAAGTATTCGAAGTAAAATATTGCTTCGCTTTCTTCAGCTGTTTAAAGTTTTTATTATTTAAATGGCTATTGCAATTTACTCACTTTTTTTTTAATAATTACAATTAATTATTCATCAACTTTTTTTTTTAAATATTTGAAAAAATTTTAAAGCTTAACTAAATAATTAATAGTTGAAAAAACCAAAAAACACGCTTTTTATAAAAAACCAAACTAAAAAATAAAAAATAAATTTAAATAAATATAAATTAATAATAGTGTGAATAAGAAAAAAGTGTATTTTATTGTAAAAAAAAGCGTGGGTGCATGGTGTCAATTGTTATAAAAATTTTATTGACAGAAATGAGAAGAAAAATTATCATTTTGATAATATCTTAAAAAGCATCTCACGCTTTTTTTTAAATAAAATTTTTTTTTTATTATTTACATTGCACTATTATTAATTTATATTTACTATCTATTTTTTAGTTTAGTTTTCTATAAAAAGCGTGTTTTTTTAAACTATTATTTGTTTTTTTTAAATTAAAATTCTCTTTGGTATTCAAAAATTTGTTAATATTAGATATATCGGTTGAGGATAATGATTGAAAATTAAAATTAACATCAATTTCAGTCTTATTGACTAGAAATAAAATTTATATAAATTAACAAAAAACTTTTTGCAAATTGAATAGTGTAATAATCAAATTAGTGTATTGACATCGGTTCCGATAAATCTATAAAGTTTGAACGAAATCTGGTCGTTTAAAGTGGGTCAAAATCAAGTCCAAAGGAATTAGTTACAAAACATACAAAAATACAAACAAATATACAGGTGAAGCTAATAAAAAGCGTGTAATAATAAAAGGTTGAGTCTCTCCGAAAAGAAAAGTTTTTATGAAAGAATTTTAACTAATTTTACCACAATTTAAATTAAATTTCTCCAAACAATATATACTTACCGTTACATAATAAAATCTTCAATCATTTTTTCCGTAGTTTGTTTTATTTGCGGTCAACACTTCTAATTATACAGATGCTCAAACTACTATGCCTTTAAAGTAACCACACTGAAAAAAAAAAAAAAATAAACTTGAATCAAGAGAAAAATTCTTGAACCAAGAAAATAATTTTGAAGAGTTTCATTGTTTTGAATCAAGACGAAAAATTCTTGAATAAAATTTACTTAAACCAGGAAAAATTTCTTAGTTTAAGAATTTTTCTACTTAAATCAAGATCATGAAATTCTTCAAAATTATTTACTTGATTCAAGTGAATTTTTTTTTCTGTGCAGACACTTGAAAATTTTTAATTTTTTTTTATCCAACAAATTAGTACAAAAAAATTCTTTTTAAAAAATTGGATTTTTAATTTCTTTTTAAAAATTTTTTTTTGCCATAATTTATTTATTAAAGAAATTCTAAAAACTATTAAAAATATCTGGTAAATTAATTTTCATCAAACCACTCTACAATCTATGTATAACCATTAAAAAAAGTTATTGTCATCACTCATTATTAAAGATAATTAACTTGTCAGCTACCAGTTTACAACTCAATAATTATCAACACATTAATCCCATACCAATAGCTCATTCTTTCAAAGCGATAAGAGTAAAACAAAATAGAAGTAATATAATTGTCAAACTGTATAATTTCACTATTTCGTAATTTACATAATACCACGGTCCCATAGTTCCACAGTTCTGAGTCCTGTCTCTGCATTATATTACGTTACAGATCTCAGTTTAAAAAATAATCTAAATAAATAATAAATAAGTGAAACTTTCACTGAGTCTTAGATATTTTTCCGTAGTCATCAAACTTCTGCTCGGTTGTCATAATCTCAATGATAAACTTTTACTCTACTCCATGTTCCATGGAACTTAAACTTTTTTCATATAAGTATACTTACCAAATACTTTACACGTACATTATCATTATTATTTAATCATCATAAAATTTTCATTTAATTTAATTTAATTAAATTCAAGTGAAGAGGAAGTTAAATATAGCCAGTGATTTATTTAATAAAAATAAACTCTCTCTCGATCGCGTGCGACAATGACTTAGCTTAGCTTAATCTTAAAATTAAAATATTATAATTTTTAAATCAAACAAAATGCATACGTGGAAATTCATAAGCTGACCTTGATACCGTGCGAACCAGAGAAATTTCTTCCCGGAGAAATTTCAGCGACCAGTTATATTAGCCTCCTTACTTCGTTACGTGTAGTGACATTAAAAATTAATTTGGTGATTTGTCGGGAAGAAATCTTAAGTTTTTGATTTTTTTTTTTTTAATTAAATTACAAGTAAAAAGATTTTTTAAAAAATTGGACTTATAGTTTTTCAAGTTTTTAACAAGTGATATTTTTTTTTTAATTATTAAATTGAAATTTTTTGGATAAAAAAATTTCTAAAAATTTTGAAATGTCAGCTAACTTTATTTTCATGTTTTTTGGTTAATTTATTAACACCCTTCCATTGTTACCGGAAAAATTGATAAGTAATTAAAAAAATAGTGTTAAGCGTGACCTATAATTATGACTAAGATAAATGACGGTAATAACTATTAAAACACACATTATCTTTCCGCTTTTTCCTTCACTTTGCTCGTAATATAATCACGCGTGATTGTTACGGCCCGTAGATTTGTCGGTCTGCAGAAAAAGTTAACTTATAATACTTTAACTTTCCTGATAAAAGGAATAATTAAGTTAAAACAGAAGCAAGTGTTGTTTATTCGTTGTAAATCGGGTCGAGTCAGTCATTGTCTGAACGAACCGGGATGTACATCTCTTTAATACAAGTACAAGGAAGTTTAAGTTAATATAAAATGGCAGATTGCTAATACACAAAATGAAACGTAAAAAATTTGATAGTGAAGAAGATAGTGCGCGTAAAAGAAGTGATGTTTTGCCAAACTGGGGAGACTCTTTTTTTGATTACAACGATTTTTCTTGGAAGAAAACTCCGTTTTCGCAGTACAACTTTCATGGATATAATGAGATCCGTAAGTGTTTTTAATGTTGTTAATGTAATTTTGTCAATTAAATTATTAAGATGTCTTGTGACCAAGTACCCGTGATTAATTGACATCAGTCACGATAGTGCAGTAATCGATGCAAATGATATTATGTCTTTTTAAATTATGCTGTGATGTAGTTTATTTTAGAGATTTTTTTTTGTTAAATTGTATATATTTTAGTGAAAGTTAATGGCTAGTTTCAGGATAGTTTTTTAGATAACTTGTGCGTTTGATTTTTTGTAATAATACCGGGAATCGTTTTATAATCTATGATAATGGTCAATGATTGCTGAAGTAATTCTATATTACGTATATTTATAAGACAACTTTTATGATTTAAAAAATTATAACATTTTATTACTTCTAGTTTACTTAATAAAAATATCGAATTACTTTGAAGTTTATAATAATTTATATTATTAAGAGAATAAGAAAAATTTTGTGTTCATGAAAGTCCAGGATAAAATCGGTTTTTTTAGTGAAATTTGGTGTCATTGCAAAGATCTTGACTTGAATTTGCGCCTTTTCAAGGTTTCATATCATTCTCTCTGATAGTCAATTTATTATAAGTATTTTGGCTGTATTCAAAAATTCTTTATCTCTAGATACATAATTAAGAAATGGTCTTGTATCTTGAGAACTATTGACATTTTTGAAGATATAAGCTCATCCCGATGTTACACTCATCGAGACCTTTCATTTGAGTACCCACATCAATTTTTCATATATTTTATATATTTATATATATCACAAATACCATATATATAAAATATATAAAAAATTCCATGTGGGTATTTAAATGAAAGGTCTCGATAAGTGTTACATCGAAATGAGTTTGTATCTTAAAAAATGTCAATAATTAAGAAATGACCTTGTATCTTGTGAACTACTGACATTTTTGAAGATATAAGCTCATCCCACTGTAATACTCATCGAGACCTTTCATTTGAGTACCCACATCAATTTTTTATATATTTATATATATTATATATATATGAATATATGAAATATATATTAAAATGCATGTGGGTACTCAAATGAAAGCTCTTGATGAGTGTAACATCGGGATCAGCTTATATCTTTAAAAATGTCAATAGTTAAGAAATTACAGTGCAATTTAACAAAAGTCATTATTTAATAAAGCAACATTTTATTCATTTATAGTCACAGCAGTCACATAGTGACTGCAATATTGCTAGTATTAATTTAAGCTAAAAAAATATTTTTCTATAAAAGAAGATAATTTAATTTTGAAGAAACTATGTTACCTGAATGTTAAACATCTCAATTTTTCCAAGCTAGAAACAAATAATTATTAAAAAAAAGTTTTTTTTAAATATAGTACTTAGAATAATTAAGAAATAATTAACTATTAACATAAAAATAAATGGGGCTGTGCATACTCATGCATAATTGCCCGAGACAGAAAGCATTAAATTAAATTAGCTCTACATAAAAAGAAGTTATTTCAAAAATTTATGAAATTTTAATTACTGTAAAACTCTGAAAATTCAATATTATAAATACGAAAGAAACTGTAACAATATTTATCGAGTGTATCTTTATAGAGTAGTTATTATAGATATGACTTTACGATGGACAGAATGATTATTACATGACACTGATGATAGGATATTACAAGGTGATAAGTATAGTCTTCAGAGAAAATTTATGTTTACTGTATGTATCAATATTTAATTTAAAAAAATTTTCAAAGTAAAAAATATATTTTTTTTTAACCGGTAAATAAATTTGTAAATTTTTTACACGGAGTGTTGATTTTTTTAGCATTAATTAGTTCTTCACTTGAATTGATAATTAATAAAATCCACTAAAAATGATACATGATAATATTAATAAAATTTATAACCCGGAAGCGATGAAAAAAAAATTTCCGCAAATAAATTTTTAAAAGAATAATAGTAAAAGTTAATTCAAGCAGATAGAGGGAAATGAATTGAGTATAACCATGCTATAAAATAAAGAGCCAATAAGTAGAGAGTAATATTTCACTTAATCGCATTAGAATTTCTCGTTAAGTAAATACAACTTAACATTAGTGGGTATCAGCAGAAGCGGTGTAATAACTTATCATCAATGAAAGGAAGATGAGTAGTCGGTGATGTGAAAGAGATACTTTTCTTGCATTGAGCGTGAAAATAGCACAGGCAAGAGGGGAGACTTTTACTCTATCTGGCGAATCAAAATCCAATAAAATCGACGTAACAGATATTCGAATTAAATAGAAATACAGTTCCATCTCGACGGCTCACTACGCGTGTTGTGTGTTGTTTTCCTGTTAAGTAACTTTTGTCTTCTGGGTCTTTGTAATTGGTGACATAACTCCAGAGATGATTCGTGGTAGTGAAAGTTATTGAAGAACTTGAAAGTTCAAGTATTTATTTTGACAGTTTTTGTTTTTACGCATTGTGATTTTATTTTAGGTATCACCAATGTTGTGCCGCTTTTGATGTCGATGACACTGTTGGGCCTCAAGGAGTTCAATGCTCAAAACACTCAAAATCTTCATGGTCCAGCTGATTTTGAATCGCCAATTTCTTTTAATGATGATAATCCAAATACACTGTACAAAGTAGTAAGTTTTGTTTATTGAATTTCTTCTTCTTGCACTGAGAAAAAAAATACTTTTACTTAATTAAAGATGATGATCAAATTTTCTATTATTATTAATTATTAATTTCTAAAGAGAAGAACATCAATATTTATCTTTGGATAATATATAAACAAGAGAATAGCTTCATTTAAATTAAGTAAAAATTATTTCAATCAATTTAACAAGTTCTTGAGCTATAAGAATATATATTTTTGAAAATTTTCAAGAACATGAATTCTTGTATCAAGAAAATTTTCTTAATAAAAGTATTTTTTTTTCTCAGTGTGAAATAAAAAAAATCTGGAAATTGGTTGACCGCGCAGGCCAACCCTAGAACTTCCTGCTAAGTTTGAATTTAAAGCGCCTTAAAATGTGTTTTTTGGTTAATATTTGAGCTTCTCAAGCACCGTTTTTCATATTTTGAGCTTTTCGACCTCAAAATTTATTTATTGAACAACTTTAACTATTAAATACGTCGTTCAATTTTCATTTTTAAAAATGTATTTGACGCAGTTCGGCTGCCCAATTTTAAAACACAGTAACTGCAAAATTTTTTTTTAATATTGCTGCATTTTTTATAACTTTTAGACCTTAATTTCAAGTATTTTTTCTTAAAAATATTTATATTCAAGTATTTTCTATTCATAAATCAAATTTTTCGTCAAATTGGCAGGCAAACTTTTTTTTAATAAGAAAAATTTTTTAAAATTTCTAAATGTTAGTTACTGTGTTTTGAAATTGGGCAGCCGCAGTTTTATAAGCACAAAAAATATGTACATGGTTTTATTATGATTTTTCTGCATCCCTTGAAGTTATTTTAAAAAAACATGAAAATTCAAATTTTTTTTTTAATTTCTTTGGAATCTTTTCGAGTAACGTGTCGTTGAATTCAATCGGTTAATTCGTTTTTGAAAAACCGTACGATAAAAATTTATTTACACACACACACACACACACACACACACACACACACGGCCGGACACCTTAGCGGAAATAGTCAGAATGGCTTCCTGGAGTCTCAAAACATAGAGATCACTATAACTTCCCTTTAGTGGAAAATTTTCAATTTTCTTAGCAGGAAGTTAAAAATATTTGTCAAAATATCAAAACTTACAATAATTAAATTAATTTAAAAAATTTTTACAGGCTAAATCTAGTTCCTTAAATGCCGATATTTTGAATTCTATGCGATTTGGAAGATTAATAGAAAATTTTAATGCACCAATAGAAGATCGACTGCCTAATTTTGGGCTCAATGATATAACTATACCAAATAAAGACATTGAACCACCTTTTGAAAATTTTCCTGAAGAAGAAACTCCCGGCGCTGCCATGGAACTGGTAAAATTATATAACTATCAATAAAATATTATATTAAAATTATCACTGGCATAAAAAGATTAATTTTCATACTAATTATAGTAATTGACGTTGACAGTTATCTGTGATTTAATCTATTAATCGCCTGTAACTTTCAAAACGTGACAGAAACTTCTTTTTTTTTTCTTCATAAAAATTAACTGCAATTATTTTTGCTGTTATTATTTACATATTTTCCACCAGTTGTCCTGTTAATAAATTGTTAATACAAGTTTCTAAGCCAATTTGCTTGTAAATTTTAACTGAAGTACACTCGAAGTTTATTATTAATTAATAATAATTATTAAATTAAATTATAATAAATCATTATTAATAATAATAATAATAATAATGAGTTAACTTATTCCAAAGAATGTTAATTAATTTCATAATCTAAGTGTAAATATTAATCGGTATCAAAGCCTGACTATTTTTCACTTTTATTCAGATTGAATTAAATATATAAGCAGGAATAAATTTTATACATATAAGAATAAATTAAGTAATAATAAAAAAACATATCCATTATTTTTAACGACTTCCGACATTGTAGATTTACGCCTGGAAAACTATAGACTATGAATTCGCTAGTAGTGCAGCACGAGAACAAGCAATATTGGAGAAATCATTCATTCCGGAAAACAATGTACCTTTGGGTCTTGAATTTTGGCGAGACAAAGTCTTTATAACACTCCCGAAGTGGCGAACGGGAGTTCCAGCGACGCTCACCACTGTTCCACGGTATACTGTCCAGAAAAGTCCAAAACTGCGACCTTATCCTAGTTGGGGATGGCATTACCAAGGTAATTTATAACTTTTCCTTTAATCAATCTCTATTTATAATAACAATAACTTACAATAAATAAATTATCATTTCTTCTTATATCTTCTTATACTATTAATGAATTTCAATCGCTTAAAATTAATTTATCTACGCTAAAAAATTTTAAACCGGTTTAGTTATACTCAAGTGCAATTACAGAGTATTATTCAAGCTGAAGTTACATTATAAAGCTATTTTAAGAAACTAGAATTGTTAATTTATTAAATTGATTGACAAGGATACGTAAAAAAAAAAAAAATCCAATTTAAATGTGTGTTTATAGTCATGCCGTTAGGCACTTCGTCCTTATATCGATAATAAAATCTTTAGTAATTATTTACAAGTGGGCTCAACTCCATTTTGGGACATAACTAGGTGAAAAATTAACATTTTCAAATTTTTTTTTATTCTGCTTATTTTTACGGCACATTTATGATAAAAAATGTCGCGGAAGAAAAAAAAAAAGATTTTGATAGATTTTTTGCTTTTAAAAGTTGAAAAAAATTTTGGCTCTCATGTTTTTGGATAAAATTTCTATTTTATCTTTTTTTGAAATATTTTTTTTTTTTGAAAAGTACTAAAAAAACGATAAATTTTGTTAAAATTGTGATAATCTACTTTTTTTTTGCTTTTTTTCAAAAAAAAATATATCAATAAAATCAATTAGAAATTTCGTTCAAAAAAATTGAAAATTAAAATAGTTGACCCTACTTGTAAATGTTTACCAAATCTGTAATTGGTAGCTAATTAATTTAACCTATTTTTTATCTTAAGCCGTTGAGGACACACGTCGAAAAAATTACATTGAGTTCTAATTTTGTTTCCTATGTGATGACTTATAATTGGCACCAAACTTTAATATAACATTCCCTCTAAATATCTTAATAGTTATTTTTAATCTACAATAATTTAAAAATACTGAAAAATCGTTTAGAATAAATAAACTTATGAAATTGAATTTTTTTACAAAAAAATTCGCGGAAATTTTGAGTTTTACGATATCGAAAAAAAACCGACGCAATTTTATTCGGAAAACAATATATTTTAAGGAAAAAAATCAATTTTTGATGAAGTTTGAAAAAAATATATTTATTCTGAAGTTTGAAGTTAGGAATTTCGGTCAGTCGCTTAAAATGAGAATAAGACATTTAAACATGCAAAATAATATAAAAAGATTTAGTTTTTTGTCATAAAACTCTTTTATTATAATTATTACAATTGTAATAAAAAAAATAAAAATAGGGTAAATGCACCAGTTGTTGACCGGTCACCAATTAGTTGACCGATGTATAAAAAAGTTAATTAATTAATATTTTACAAGGGTTTTTTTTTCTTAAAGTATTAAAATAAAACAATATGGCATTTAATCATCATAATAAAAAATTACGTAATTAATTGGGCAGTGATTATAGCTTTAAAAAAATATTCTGAGTTTGTTTACAACGGAACCAGCCATAAAGCGGCCAAAAATAACTAGCGTACAATTGGAGAGTGAGAGCATTTCATCATTAATTTAGTGATATTTATCGGCATAATATAAAATATTTTAGTTTTATTATGTTAATTAAAAATCAGATTCCAACTTTTTTGAAAAAATAAAGTTAAATTATAAGTTTTAATATTATTTTAAGACCGGTCAACTATTGGATCCGTCAGAAGTCCTTTACCCAGTAAAAAATTCATTCGGTCATTTATTAGACCCTCTGATTTTATCACAAACCAATTAATGACCGTATATTTATAATACTAACTTCTAAACCTCAAAATTAAATCTGTCAAGTGTTTAAAGTACTTTAGTCATTCAATATTTTGTAAATATAAAAATAATCATTATAAAGAGTATATTTATAATTAAAATAATACTTAAAATCTTTTTTGATTATTAAATTTTATTTTGTTGTAATTTTTTTAGTGAACGGTTATATCAAAGAACGAATTATTAGAAGAAAAAATTGCTAAGCAATTAAAAAAATAAAAAAGAGTTACAAGCTAATAAAAAAGCTTTAATTGAAAAAAAGAAGCAGAAGAATAAAAAAATTTCAAGTGAATCAGAAGAATTATCGTCATCAAAATGAATTTGTGATTATTTGTGACCTAAAGAAATGTGACTTTATGTTAATTATTGCTATTATTTATATTATTTTATAAAAAATTACGATTTAAAATTATATTGTATGTTTAGTTTTGTTAAAGATGTCGTTAATACTTCAAAAGTACTGCATATATTTAATTATATACATGTAGTTTACAAAATTACTTATAATCGTTTGAGCGGTCAATTAATTGGAGAACGGTCGGTCATTTATTGGGTTTATTCGGTCAATAATTGGTGATTTTAGTATTTCAAGATTCAAATAACAAAATTAATATAACTTTGTTAATTTTTATTATAAATAGTTATTAATTATTATTAATTAAGTATTTAACTTTAATAAAATCCATTACAAATTGTTTTTAGTAGGTTAATAGATTTTTTATAGCTTAGTACAGAAAAAGAAAACCTTAATCGGTCAATAATTGGTGCATTTACCCTATCTTCAAGAATATCAATGAAATCAATCGTAAATGAGACTAAGTCTCTTTTATAAATCTCTTTCTAAATTTAAAATTGCCTCAAAGTTCGCCCGTGTGTCCTCAACGGGTTAATCACTCCTGTACTATTCCCCAAAAAAAAGACTTTTAAAGCTAATTTTAAAAATATTTTTTTTTCCAGGTTCCTGTGGTGGTATGACATCGGTCTTCCGGATCCAAGTAGATCAGTGTGATCGACTCTGGGTTTTAGATTCAGGATCGGTAAACTTGACTGAATCACTAAAAAGAATTTGCCCACCAGCCATTTTCATCTTTGACTTAAAAACAGACCGACTGCTGAAGAGATATCAAATCCCCGAAGATCAAATAAAAGAAGACTCTTTGTGGTCAAATATCGTTGTAGATATTCGAAACAACGACTGTAATTCAGCAAAAGCTTACCTCGCAGATGTCTGGCGTTTCGCAATGATAGTCTACGACTTATCAAAGGACACGTCCTTCAGAATCCAGCACCATTTCTTCTTCCCAAATCCTTTTGCATCCAAGTACGAATTACACGGTATTCGTTTCCAATGGATGGACGGAATCCTCGGACTCGCGTTGAGCCCCATTGACGTTAACAACGACAAGATTCTCTACTTTCATCCGATGTCCAGTTTCCATGAATTCGCGGTATCCACCGCGGTGTTAATAGACCAGGAGACAGCGGAATCAAATCCTGATAGCTTCGCACCAGTAGGCGAGAGAAGGGCCAAAGACTTTGGACATTCTTCAGGATCTGCTATCGACAGAAACGGTGTTATGTTCTTCAACATGGTCACCAGGGACTCGGTGTGGTGTTGGGACACACGTAAAGAGTACTTACCTCGGAATTTCGGATTAGTTGGAGTCAGTAACGAGACTCTTGTGTTTCCCAATGACATACGAGTTGACAATGAAGAGAGACAAAGCTTCTGGACCATCTCAAACAGGCTACCGATGTATTTGTACGGACCTTGGAACCCAGAAGACGTTAATTTTAGGGTATACCGAGCTTACGTTGATGAAGCTGTCAGAGATACTGTTTGTGATCCTAATTACGTTGTTTCAGAGACTGAAATAAGTTATGAAGATACTTGTTAATACTTAAGATTTATTTATTGTAATAAAATAGTTATCATTTGTAACTGTTTTGTTGTTTTTAAATGTCTTTTCTCCGTATGCTACACAGAAAAAAAGGTTCACTTGAGCCAAGGAAATATTTTTCTTCCTAATTATTTTCTTGAGTAAAAAAAATTTTTTTTTGACAAGAAATTTCACTTATTCGAACAAAATTAATTCTTTTGCTTTAAGAAATACGTATCTTGATCCAAGAAAATTTGTTTAAGTCAAGAAAATCTTGTTTTGAGAAAATTCAGCCTCTGGCCCCAAAAAATTTAGTTTTTGATAGAAGTAAATTTTCTTTGTCTTGAGAAAATTTCTCTCTTGCTCCAAAAAATTTAATGTAAAGATAGAAATAAATTTTCATTAATATTTTTATTGACTAACATGTCAAATATGGGAAGATCAAATAATATTTCATCATTTTTTTTCATTCAATATGTATAATTGCACGCTAAAATAATATTAAATGGGTATCAAATATTCAAGAGAAAAATTTTCTCAAGGTGAGAAAATTTTTTTCTCAGCTGAAGTAGGTGGCGCTGCTTCCCTGAAGTATCTAAAAATCTTGATCAAATATATAAATCTATTGTATCAAGTATTTATGATAATTTGAATTAAGAAAAAATTACTTCCACCAAGAATAGAATTTCAAGAAAAATTTTTACTTTGGCCAACACAACTTCTTTCTTCAAGCACTCGAAAATTTTCTTGAGCCAAGAATTTTGTTCTCCAATCAAAAAACTTTTTTTTCTGTGTAGAAATATATTGTTTGACATTCTGAATGTTTTATTGTTTCAATGCTAACAACAAAATACAGGTAAGCTTTTATATTTTTAATAATTAGTTCCAAGAAGAATAGTTGTTTTTTATTTATTAGTAAAATATTTTGAATTTTATCTACAAACAAGCTGAAAATTCCGACATATTGCTCTCGTTTCCCAAAGATACTTCACTGGTCTGATCAAAATTCAAAAATGTTGCTGATTCATCCGACCAATTACACTCATCGTCAAAAATACTCAGGTGCGCTTCATTAACAGGTTGACTTCCTTTAATAAATTCTAAATTATTTTCGTTACCAAAATTTTCTTTTATACCTGAATCTTCTGTATCCAAAAAACCAACCTCCGGCGAAGAATTAACAAATTCCAAAGACTCAGCTGATATAACAGAATTCGAGACTAATGTATCAATTTCATCAATCAATTTTTTCAGAACTCTAAACCCAGGAAGACGAGCCAATTCTTTTAAACTTCGACTTCCATTTGAAGAAACAACTTCTGAAAATTTCTTCACCCAATCTTCTATCAAAATAACTTCTAGATGTTTTAATTGAGATTCAACATCCACATTACTGCTACGAATTATTTCAGTCTTCGAAATTTCAGTCCTAAGAACTTCCTTTTCCCCAAACGCTTCCAAATCCTTTAAATAGTCATCTCCATAATCAATTTCCAGTGTCGAGTAATTTGGACAATCATGTCTTATGACACTGCTCCTCGCAGCTTTGACTATTTCTTCAAACACATTCGGAATATAATCATTCCTTGCAGAGTAAAATTCCCTTGGCCCCAAAAGAAATCCACGAAATTCGTGATGGTCAAAAGAAAAAGCACTTTGCAATAAAGTAGCAGTGTCTCGATCATCAACAACATCAAAAACAGATTGCTTGTACTTAAAAGTCTGAGCTGAAAATTTATCTAATCTTGGAAAAGCCCAATCAATTTGAGCTATCCTAGTCTTAAAATCAACAAATTTCTTCTCAGGTAAAAGCTTTTCACTAGCAAATGAAGCGGGAATATTTTCTACAGCTTTTACTTTGTCTAATTCACGTCCTTTTTGCAAATCTTTCCTATGCGACAGCTTGATATTCAAATTTGGTACTTTTACATTCTTCTTTTCATCCTTTAAAAGCATATCTAGCGGAACTGGCTTCAATCTTTCCAAATCCATCAACCTCTTGTACCTCCAGAGCGTTTTTTCATTGTACAGCTTCAAAGCCTCAAGTTCTCTGTTTTCCTTCTTTACTTTCTCAAAACTCTTCTTTAACTTCAAACCTTCGCCATATTCATCCCAACCACTTACAGGACCGCGTGGTAGCGTCAAATTTTGAACAGTAACAAAATTTACTTGATTTACATTCTTCCATTTCGGAACTTCAGTCTGTGTTTGCTTCTGCACTGTCGAGCTTCTGGAATTCGTTCCAGTATCCTTCAGAACAGATTTCCTCTCAGAATCTTCAAACAAACCAACTTCTTTCTTAAGAATTTCAACATAAACCAAATCCCGGATCCAAGTTTCAAAGATAGTTTTATCTTCTTCAGTAGCTTCGACCACTTCGCTGATAATTGGCTTCATTGACACGTTTTGCGCGTTTTCTTGGACTCTAATGCTGTTCCGAATCAAATAAGTCGCCTCAGAAGCTTTGGTTTCTAAATTACAGAGGCTTTCTTCATAAAAACCACTACCTAATTCACTTCCTTCTGAATACTTAATAGATTTTTCCGTCAAAGAAGCTTTATCAATTTCAGACTTTTGGTTCTCAAAAAAGTTTGTCATAGTCCACTGCTCAGTCCAACTTGAATAGTTTTCAAAAGATTCAACCTTTTCGGACTCTTTCGAATCACTTTCATCAGAATTTTGACCATCTGAAGGACAAGTACAGGAAAGACTGCTGTTTTCTTCTTGGATCTTGGTAATTGGTGGATACGTACTAGTTTGACCAATCGAGCTACTAAGCCTCACTTTCTCAACGTAATCAAAAGGAACACCAAGGATCATTATGACTCTTTCAGAAATAGGAAGACGAAAACCATCAGCGTTGAAGATATTATCTTTGTGATCAAAATATCGAATCGATAACATCGAAATGGTGTTCAAAGACCTGGAGATTCTGATACTATTAGTCTCTTCTCCAAATTCTGTGGGAGAATTTACTGGTAAGCTTTCAAAGTTTGGAACACTGATGAACCTTTGTCGCTTTTTGGTGTATTGGTCAGGTTCATCAAGTGTGAGGGAATGTCTCATAGACATTCCAATCATTAGGTTGAAAGTTGATGCCTTACGCTGGCTCATTCTACTTAGCTTCTTTTGATCCAACTCCTTGAGTCTCATGTAGAAAGCGTTTATTGTAAACCAATTTTGGGCTGCTAAACCTGCAATAAATTGGGTCCGTTTTAACTTGTTAAAATTTGAAGAAATTAACTTGATAATTTAATAAAACAATAGTATTGGTAATTACCTACTGATATCAATTTTTCGATAACAATACCACCGAGTAAATAATCGGAAATATTTCCTTCAATGTAAAGCAGTACGACGACTATAAAAACAATAACCTCGAGGATAAAATTTTTAAAGGCGCTTATTACCATCCAGGGTAATAACATTCTTCTCTGAGACCACATCAATATAGAGCAAAGATTCAAGACATGTGTGAAGATATAAATATGAGCAATCGCAACTCTTGAAACAACAACCCAGGACAATACTAAAAATAAATTGAAGATTAAATTGATTTTTTTTTTTTAAATTAATCCAAAAAATTTTTTATCAACAAAAACCTGTTTTAATATTTTGTTCAAAGTTTCCAGACTTTTTTTGGGACATCGAAGTCTTCCGAATGGTTTCCACTTGATTTCCCCAATCAAACGGACTCCAAGCCCACAAATTTGTTATCTGTTTTATAAATTTGATTGATTATATTTGAAGTGTATTAATATAATAATATTTCTTACTGCGTCCAACAATGTCATTATCAGAAGCTCTGTTTTGAAGGAAGTACCGGTTAATTTATTGGTAAGTTTGACAATAAAAATTACGCCAAAAAATATTATTTTTGCCGCCAGTGTTTTATGAATTTTATAATTTTGGTCACATTAAAAATCACATGTTGTTTTTTAGGTTACTGAAATTTTAATTAAATGCGATCTTCAATTTTTATATTTATTGAATAACAAGCATGATTTGATTAATGTCTTCTATATTCTGTGTCACGTGGTATACTTATAATATAATAATCTTCGCGACGGTTAATTATTATGTGATTATATTTATTTGTCAGATATAAAATAAAATTAGTCGTTAATAATTATAAATATTGTAGAATTATTATTATTGATTGTTTAAATTGTGATAAATTAAAAAATTAAGCATATATACTATATAACTTCTAGCTTATTCTTAGACGTCACGTGGGAACATTCTATAGTCAATTTAAAGTGTAGTTGCGTAGTCTGTCACGCGCAGCGCTGTATAACCTCTGTAGGCCTATAGACTGTATGATATAGTCAGAACTAGTTGAACAGCCATCAAGTGAACCTCGTGTCTGCTACGCTAATTCATTTCTTCGCAAAGTTTACGCATATTTCCTCACCAGTTTCTTCACAACACCACATTTTTAATTATCTTTAACAATAAATAAAAATTATTAATAAATAGTGAATTTGTTATTCAAAATCTTGTTAATTGTGTAAATTAATTATAAAGATCCAAAACCTAGTCTTTCCTAACCTCATTTTTGACCACGTGTTAATATATAATTAATTTATTTTTTTAATACATTTTAAATAATAATTATTTTAAAAAAAATGGAGAACTTCGACGTCAAAGCCTTCAACGACAAGATTATGGAGTCAATCGTGTACTTGGATAGGAATATTGACATCAAGAAAAAACCTCCAACTCCGGGAAAAACCATTTTAAGATACTTCCCGGAGGATTACATAAGGTTTAACCAGCCTCTTCGTCGAGAATTATTCGTTGAAGAGAATAAAACGACAGAAGATGAAAACAAAGAGGAGCAGGAAGATCAGCAAGAACAAGAGAAGCCCGAAAACAATGAGGAAAAAGAAAATACCATGGACCAACCTGAGAGAGTAGACCGGGTGACTCAAAAATACAATTTTAGTGTTTTACCACGGAACACTCGCCCTATTGCCATTTCCAAATTTCGAAATGTTAATAGAGGAGTGTTTTTTGAGAGCAATAAAATTGACGACACCCAACCCAACCAGAAAAAAATGAAAAATAGAGAAGAGAAAACAACCACCAAAGAAAAGCTCAAAGGAGTTCTCGAGAATCTAAAAGCTCGTTCGAAGGAGATCAAGCCTGAGAAGAGGACAGTGAAGGTCATCGACGTCATTCAGCCAGCTTTAAAAAAACGAAAGGGTAGTAGATAAGTTTATTAACATTTTTTTTTCAGGTTTTTTTTAAGTTTTAGTTTTAATTTAAATAATATAATTTTGTCTTGATTATTTTTTTTCAGGTTATTTTTTATTTAATTATTTTTAAGTTAGTTTGAGGTCTTAATTATAGTCATTAAATATTATGGTGGAGGGTATAACAATTTAAAGTTAATTTTAAGGAACATAAATGCCGACCGGGTGGTTGGCCTTTAGAGATATTTCTTTTTTGTGATATTGTTTTAATATTATCCAATAAAGAAATATTTCTATTGGACACCCGTTATAAGGCATTTTTGGAGTTTATATGTTAATCATATTTAAAAAATTTGAATTTTTAACTTCCCGCTAAAAAAATTGAAAATTAAAAAATTATCTTTAATATTCAAAAGTACTGTCATTATAGTATCACTTCAACACTGTACTTAGCGTTAGTCATCCCTACATCTTATTAAGTGATAAAATTTTATTATCAATCTAATATTTTCACGGTCTCGGGCAGTAACAATGACAAATCTAAATAATTATCTTCGGTAATTTAATTTTTCGTTTATTCTGACGTAGGTCAACAACTTAAGAGCTATTACAGCTTTTTAAGCTCTATTATAGTTTACCAAATTATTTATTATTATCTTCTATTGTATTGTATAGATGATTGCAGAAAAACATTCACATTATTTTTTGAAACAAAGTTTCGACTAACCATTAGAAAATTCCAATTTAAAAACCACTTGATGATTTCTTCTTCAAGAAAAACAAAGAAGATATTTTAAATACATATAATTTATAAAGTTATTATTGTTTCAATTTATTCAAATTGTTTATCATAATAATATATAATCAAGGACAGTATAATTGAAAAGAAGAATAATAAAATGAAAAGTATTGTTTATTCTCATTGTTAAGATTAGTCAGAAAGTAGCCGTCTTTAAGACAAGATCTTGAATCGCGTATTTTAATGAAGAAATTAATCGGCCTAAAAATGAAATTAATCCTAAACGATGTAAGTTTACTTAAAGTACAGTAGTTAAATAGTATAGCGTCACCGGTTTATTTGAAGAATCCTCCTTCCTAGCCACCAATTCTATATGCATCAATATATGTGCTAAACTTGAATATAGGTATAGATAAATGAAGAAATGAATAACGCGCAAGCGCACTTATAAAAATAAAACTCACACTTGCGCGTTTTAAATAAGAAAATTGCTTCAAGCTAGCTGCTAGCATTGCGGCAAACCTATTCAACAGTGAACAAATACATAATAATCTCAAGCCATTGCTTTAGTACTTTTTTTCACTGGTAAACACAATTATCTGTACTCAATCGTGCAAGGTAAGGAGTTTAATATCATATTACTTGCTAAATGAATATTCAACAACTTTTTTTCCAGATTCTTTCAAGCTAAGCTTGCTTTATTTATGTTTCTATCGATTTTACATGCACTTAGCTTCTCGCTGGTGTGGGTATAAACAAATCTCTTTTTTACGCAATATGTCATACTTGCAATTGACATAATTTAATTAAAGAAATTTTCACTTTTTTAAATTCTAATAACTTAAAAATTATATCAGAGTATTCTTCTTTTTAAATTGCTGTAATTATTAATAAACAAAATTGCGTAACTCAAGTAATAATTGATAAAATTCTTGTTTTCGGGTAAATTAATTTAATATTATCGGATTTGTTATCAGTTGTCATGCTATCGTGATTTGAAATAGACTTTATAATTCTACAAATGAATTTCCAACAATTGAAACAATGAAAAATGTGTACAATAGGTATCGGTAATCTTTAAAGGATTTGTAGATATTTGTAGAAAAACAATTTTTCTGTTCGTGTCATATCTGTCTGATGATCGTAGGAATTACTTGAATAATATGTATACGGGTATTAATATAAAATATAAGCAAATACGTTATTGAGAAGACTACAGCGAAACAATTGAACATTTAAATTATTAAAATTTTACCTAAATTAAATTAAGGTTAAATAGTTTTCAATTCATAAAATTTTGCACTAACAATTATTTTTGGTACAGAGCTCATAAAAATTATAATGGTAATTAGAAGACTTTTTGAATGTTAGATAAAGAATTAATTTTATAATTATTTTCAGATGCAGGTAAAAACTTTTTGTGGGTGCTGCTCATTACAAATTGGTAGTATAATTATCGGAATTGCGACTATAGTAAGTATGATAAATATATTTATAGTAAAGGTCAGTTTTTTAAACCAGATTTTCTTTATTATTAAAGTAGGAAAAAAATTTATTTGAAAAACTGACCCTAAAAGTTAAGTTAGCCGACATTTAAAAATTTATAAAATTTTTTTTTATTGAAAAAACGATTGTAAAAAAATAAAAAAAAATTTTATTTGTAAAAAACTTGAAAGACTGTAAGTGCAATTTTTTAAAAATATTTTTTTGTTCTAATTTAATTATTAAAAAAAAAAAATTAAAAACGTCAGCTAACTTTAGTATTATAAAATTATTCTTCTTTTTATTATAATTGAATTTTCCTTAATGAAGCTAAAAATAACTAACATGTTTCAACTTTTTTTTTTTTAAATAAAATAAATTTTCATGACACTGAAGTTTGAAGACGTGTAAAAATTTTTGATTTTTTTTATCAATTAAATTACAACTAAAAAGATATTTATAAAAAATTGTACTTACAGTTTTTCAAGGTTTTTACATGTGACAAGTTTTTTTTTTTTTAATTGTTTAATTGAAATTTTTTCAATAAAAAATTTCTAAAAATTTTCAAATGTCGGCTAACTTAATTTTCATAAATTTTCACATGTGTAAATCTTTAAATTCTATGAATGTAATTTATTGAAATATATCTTTCAGTAAAAATTAATTTGTTAAAAAAAATGATTGTTAACTACAATATAATTATTGCTTAATATAATTATTTACTTGTTTTAGTTATGTACAATATTCGTCTTCATCCTAGAAGCTATCGGGATAGACCATATTGAAAACATTGAAAGTCCTGAATTTAAAATGAGTACCTACTTCATTGTCAAAGCTATTTACGTAGGGGTAATGTCGTATCTTGTGATTTGTATGATAATATCCATACAACTCATAATCGGAAGTATTAAGGTAAGAAGAAAACAATCAATATTTGACTATACATTTAACAATAAAAAACAATTAAAAATTAAATGAATTTTTCAGCGTAAAGCCAGTTATGTTTTTCCCTTTGTCTGCTTGGCATATAGCAACGTAATAATGCAATTAGCAATCTCTATTGGCATAATGGTGTTTACATTTGGATACCCATTACCAGCGATAATGACTTACGTTAACTTCTTAATTCTATCTCTTCTTATGGGTAACTAGTCTCTTATATGCAATTTTATTATACTTCTTCTTATATACAATTATAACTACAATAAATAATTTTGTTTGTTGTAATTATAATCAAAACTTTTTTTTTAGGCGCCTATGTTTACATCTGGCTCGTAGCCTACAGTTTCTACAAGGAACTAATGCTAGAAAAGTATGGATATTCTCCAAATCAGGAGAACAAAAACTACGAACCGTACAAAGGTTACAATGTTTAATTTAAAGTCACTAAAAAATGTGATATTAAATTTTGCTCGCACATTTTGGATTATTTTTTGGTCAATTGTAATATATCTAATTAATTGCTTTGGTATGTGATATCAATGTCCATTAAAATTATCAAAGTCTGTGCCGTATTTCTTCTTTAAAAAAAAAGGATTTTCAATGGAGTAATCGATAGTTTAAACTATCTTACATTAAGACAGAAGATTAACGTACAAATAAATGATGATGCTATTTTAAATAATATATTTTTTATTGATAATAATCGTAAAATTAATACTATATTTATGCATGATCTTCATAAATAATCAAGTAATAGCATTTAAACATCATTATGCTAGTTTTTAAAAATTATATAGATTATTGATATCAAATTAAGGAGGAAGGCAATGTAAAAGCTTCAAAATTGGAGATTTTTTTAAAATATTTTTAAAGGTGATAAAATAATTTGATTGTTTTTATTTTAAACTTTAACAAAACTTTATTGAACCTTTCTAGAGTACCAAAGTAATTTTTTAAAAAATTTTTATCCAGAAAAAAATTTCTTGCCTCAAAAATTGTTTAAAATGAATTTTGATTTTTTAACAAAAGAATATTAATATCTATCATGATAATAAAATGTTGAGATTAATTTTGATAGATTAACAAATAAGTTCACTTGAATTAAACAAAAAATACTTTGATTAATTTGATCAATTCTTGAGACAAGAAAATATATTCTTGAAAATTATTAAGAATATTTATTCTTGTGACAAGAAAATTTTCTCAAGAGTAGTTATTTTTTTTTCTGTGAAAAAAATTGATTTTTTGAAAATTTTACCTGGACTTCCCCTCTTAATGTATATTATATCAATAAGTGAATAAATATTTCATGTTAATCTATAAGACTATTATAATTGTAGTTGATTTGATAATTTTTTACATACTTCATGAAATGATTTTAAATCTGTAATGTTGATTCTAAAAAGTTTATTCGATGTACGTGTATTTAAATAAATTCTTGTTTCAATAAGTTAAACTTGTCTAGATTTCATACTCTAATTATTTTAGTATCTGCAAGTGAATCACAAGTATTACAGAGTGCAATTATATCTTGTAATAAGTATCTTACATTTAAACATTACTAACAATAATTGCACTGTTGATATTAAATGTCTAGTAAATTACCGTAATTTGATCGATAAAAATGTAAATTTTATAGACAATAAATAATTGAAATGCACTTAACTGTAATCTTGGTGAATAGAATACTATAAAGGTCACCGATAAAGCACTGAGATGTAAATTATAAAAACATTATTTCATAATCGATGACGTATTGTCAACAACATGACAAGTGGTTAATGTACTTAATACATTGTGAAAGTAACCAGACAAAATTTTTATTCTTCTTTTACTTAGTATTATCTCGACAACTAGGATAAGTAATTTAATAAGTAATAACAGTATCATAATACACCATGTAGACAAAATCTTACTTACATCTACTTCTCACTTTTCATATTATACATGTTAATATGGGTCATTTATATTAAACTTTTTTTCTTATATTTCATCTTTAATTTCTCTGATTTTATTTTGTGTTATAAGTTATAACATTAAGTAAAAGATCAAAAATGAATTCTTTTAATTTTTATCTTTAATCATTATGTAGTTACTAATTTTTTAATAAACAAAAAAATAGTAATTATTTACAAGTGGGGTTTTAATGTTTATTTTTTTGAACGAAATTTTTTTTTGGAAATTTTAATATATTTTTTTTTTTTTTTA